CAATTATTTAATATTCTGTTCATACATAATCGATTTGTACTATCACAGTCTATAGGACAATTATGCTTATCTTTGAAATGTATGAACTTCTTTACCTTCATAGCTAAAACCAGTCTGCCTGTCTCTTGGACCCCTTCCAGCCTAAATAAAGAGTGAAATGCCCATAACTTCCAAGTAGAAATGAATCGATGATGTTCATTATAATGTCTACATATCCTATTAAAAATATATCATGCTTTAAATTATTATTTCTGATTGCTCATCTGCACCAATTACTAACACTTTATATAGCTGTTTATTTTTTATATTTAAAGTTTTAACAGTAAGCAACGAAAGTTTTAGGGGACAAGAATGAGATGAAAGATGGATGTATGAGCAGTTTTAGAAAGTTAGGACAAATAGACTGGCATGGCATGTAGTATAGGTAAAGGAAAATGACAAAGTTGAAAAAGTACACCAGTGTAATATAAAAGCAACGGATATGGTAAGATGAACTGAATGTAGGTTAGTGAGTTCATACATATGAGCTGATATAGAAGAGAGAGTGGTTGATAGGGAGAAGATGATGTGCATTGATGTATAGCTGGGAAAAATAGCAGACAATGCAAAAAAAAAAATGAATATATATCTATATATACACACACAATAGTAAACTTGTATTATTAATTATTGCTACAGTGTAGTTTATCAACTTTACATTTTTTGCAAAGAAAAATAAATTGTTGGAAAATATTTAAAAACAACAGAAATTGGCTATTTCCTTCTTTCTCTAGTAGATATATTACCATGTATTCTAACATTGGAAGTCCCAGAATCGGGACACCGATGAGAGGGGAATCAAGGGACTGGGCAGTAACTTGATTGCGTCACTGGCTCTACTTAAAAGGGGGCGTGTCAGTCCATAATACTGACAGTTCAGCTGGTGTGAATACACACCAGGCTGCCTGACAATCATTTTAGTGTTTTAGTGTTTCAGTACTTCCTGCAGGGTCCTAGTATCCTAAACATAGTGCAAGTATTTCTAATGATGTGCTCGTGCTGTGATTGTTTGGGACAGTTTCCAAAAGTGGGACACCAGGAAACAAGGGCAGTTGTCAGGCAGGACCTGAAAATCTGGACTCTGTCAACAAAATCAGGGTGGTGGAGGCTTGTGTTACTAAATTTATCTGCAAGGCAAGCTTATTATGTGCGTTTCTAATGACATAACTCTTTTGTAATGCAAACTGTTTTGTAATATTGATGTAATTTCTTATGTTTGTTATTTAATAAGCAGTACATAGTGTTAATGCTATACATTGACCTTCTACTATTATCATAATTTATCATTTTCTACAATCAACTTGGAGTAGCTAGTGGTATTATTAAATCAGAATCCTCTTCAGAAGTTCATTAATGCACATTAGTTGTGTTCATGTTAAAGGACCACTATAGGCACCCAGACCACTTCAGCTTAATGAAGTGGTCTGGGTGCCAGGTCCAACTAGGATTAACCCTTTCTGCTGTAAACATAGCATTTTCAGAGAAACTGCTAAGTTTACATATGGGTTAACCCAGCCTCTAGTGGCTGTCTCATCGACAGCCGCTAGAGGCGCTTCCGCACTTCTCACTGTGATTTTTACAGTGAGAAGACGCCAGCGTTCATAGGAAAGCATTGAGAATGCTTTCCTATGAGACTGGCTGAATGCGAGCGCGGCTCTTGCCGCACATGCGCATTCAGCCGATGACGGGGAAAGGAGGAGGAGAGTCCCCAGCGCCGAGGGAGTGTTTAACCCCTTCCTTCCCCTAGAGCCCGGTAGGAGGGGGGCCCAGAGGGTGAGGGGGACCCAAGGACCCTATAGAGCCAGGAAAACAAGTATGTTTTCCTGGCACTATAGTGGTCCTTTAACAAATACTACAGTTTGTGTAATGCTTTGGAATACTGTACTTGAAAGAACACAGACTTCTACCACATCTAATCTTAAATTACATGTTCCAGGGGGCAATATAAAATCGTGCTGGAGAGTCTGTTTGGACAGCACAAGACATCAATGAGCACACTGTACTGCAGCAGATATCAATTAATGTGAGATTCTTATGTGTTAATGGATCATTTGAAGATACCGTTTTGATGTTATAGTAATGCAACCTTCAATGAAGTACTTCCATTCATTAATTTACTGGTGAAAAGATTACAGAACATGCTCACTGACTAACAACAACAATGACAGCTTGTTCATGGAATATACAATCAAAAAAGCGCAATATAAAATCTTTAAAAACAGATTAAAACTAGTGGAGTAAAAGCTGCTAAGCACATGAAAGGTGATTCCTATAAACCTTCAAACACAAATATTCTAGAAAGTGTCAGCACTTCAAGTAGTTTTCCCCTTAACAAAAAGGAAAAAGCAATATGATATAGTAAATCATCCTGATTCACCTCCACAGTGGTGAATATACACTGACCAAATCAAAAAATATATTGTGGTCAGAAGTGAAATGATGTAGAAAATCCACAGTTCAAGATTGTACTGTAGTTATGTCTTTGTGGAAATTACTTCAAACGAATGAAAGTTCAAACACAATTTATTCATCACGTAGATAAAAACAAAAATACCTTGGAGAAAAATATATAGAAAGGATTAAAATAACAAAAGTGGGGGGGCGTGGTTTGGCGCTCGAGCTGCACGGCCGCATGTCGGAGTAGCTCCCGCCGATCGAGCCGCACGGGGCAATAAACAAATCGGTCTAACAAGCGATCCCCACCGCAAGCATCCACGCAAGTACCCACCATGTCCCAGAGGCAAAAATGCAAACCCGCGAAAGCGGATAAAGCGTCCTTCTTCTTAGCAAAAGCCGCACAGATGAAAACGCGGGAAACCCAGGAACAAGATGGCGGCCCGCCGCGATCACGGGAGGGCTCACCCGCTTCCCCAGCCTCCCCTGGAATGAGTGTGGACGACCAGCCCCTCACGGTGGCCACCATGAGGAGCATGATGATAGAATTAACGGACTCAGTGCAGAAGAGCCTCAGAGCTCAAATGCTCACACTGACAGCTGAGCTCAGAAAGGATCTGCAGGACATAGGGACCCGTACTGCACACCTGGAATCCAAAATGGATGACTTCTCAGTGGCCCATAACAGTGTGGCTGACAAAATGCAAGAACTAGAGGACACTATCACAGCCCAAAAACTCAAGCTGGCAGACCTGGAAGACAGGTCCAGGAGGAACAACCTCAGATTTAGGAGAATACCTGAATCGGTAACAAATGCTGACCTAGACAACTATTTACAAGATATGTTCCAGCAGCTAACCCCTGAACTGCACCCAGATCAACTACTACTAGACAGAGCGCACCGTCTTCGGAGACCTAGCCACTTACCTACCACCGCAGCGAGAGACGTCATAGCGAGAGTGCATTTCTTCCACGCCAAGGAACGGATAATCAGAGCAAACAGAAACAAAGGGATGCCTGAGAAGTACCACAACATAAAAATTTTCTCTGACCTGTCAGCAGAAACGCTGCAGTTCCGCAAATCTGTGGCGCAAATCACGCTGTCGCTACGCACACAGGGACTGAGCTACAGATGGGGTTACCCTGCCAAGCTGCTAGTGTATCACCAAGATTCCCTCCACTCTATCACGTCGGCACCACAAGGTACACGGCTGTTGGAAGACTGGGGTATACTGCTGGCAGAGATGGCGAAAACGGGCCCGGCGAAAGTTCCTCGTCTGACTCAAGACTGGGCATCCAGATAAAGAGCCTCCATACCCATGCGGTATACATAAGACGCTCATCCAAGTTATGAACTATTTTGTTGCACTAGTTATTATGCTGTTTTACATTTTATGTTTTGTTATACTACTGCTACACACCCAAAACTTGCAAAAGGGACCACTGAGGCCCCCTGACTTCCCCACGCACCAACTACTACAGTAGCTAAAGAGACATACTCTTGGCTAGATTTTGACACTGCCCAATTACAATAGGTTAGGGAGTTGGGGCACCGTAACATATACTTAAAAAAAAAAATAAAAAAATGCAACAACGGCTAATGACACCTGCACCCATAGTGCCCCGGTGCGTGCTGGATCGAGTGACTCCCTCCTTACGGGAGAGTCCCAACTTCACAACCCCACTAACGCGCGAGCGACCTTCGGGCGCCGCACTAAGGCTCGACCCAAAGGAGCCTAACAGGGCTATGCCCTCGCCTAACCCCTTTTCTCCCCCCTATAAGAAACGGCCCGAAAACAGAGGACACAGGTTGACCTTCCTTCATCCCCCTCTTGCCTCCATACCACTTCCTTTTACAATAACTAATCACACTGAACCACTAGGACAGTCCATATCCCAATCACCTCACTATAAGAGACAATCCGACAACCTACATACACGGGTACCAACCCCAGCGAATCCTAGGGAAACCACACCAGAATGAGAATAGTATCCTATAATGTACGGGGGCTTAACTCCCCTGAAAAACGAAGACTACTTCTACACGAGCTTAAGAAGAACTCAGTAGATATAGCATGCCTCCAAGAAACGCATTTTAGAGGTCCCACTGCACCCTCCCTCTTCTCAAAACTATACTCTATACAGTTTCACGCCCTGTCAGAATCAAAAACGAAAGGGGTTTCCATCTTAGTGCACAAAGACGTGGTCTTCACCCCACAAAACAGCCATATAGACCCTACGGGAAGGCATATTATAGTGGTTGGGCTTTTCAACAACACACAATACACCATAGGGACAACGTACTTCCCAAATGACAACCAAGCCTCGTACCTCAAATCTCTCCTGTCTAAACTTGATACCTACAAACAAGGGGGACTCATCTTAGGTGGTGACTTTAATTTCATTCAATCCCCGACCCTTGACACTACGGCCTCCCCGCGGGGAAAACACAAAACAGGGACCCAAGCCCTCTGCACACGCATAACCAACACCTTGGCCTTGTACAACCTACACGATAGTTGGAGAATCTTACACCCTACTGACCGGGATTATTCCTTCCATTCTAGGGTCCACAACACCTACACGCGTATAGATACATTCTTCATAGATAACAAAACCCTACCACAACTGAGCGACTGCAAATTAGGAGAGATAACATGGTCTGACCATAGCCCAGTATACCTTGACTTAAATGACAAATACCAAACCCATGGTAGGGGCACTTGGAGACTGAATGAGTCTCTCCTCCTAGATAAACCGTTCGTTGAGCGAATGACAACAGAACTCAGAGAGTACTTCCTCACCAACACAACGGGTGAAGTCTCGGACTACACGGTGTGGTCCGCACATAAAGCAGTAATGAGGGGACAGTTCATCAAACAATCCGCGTACATAAAAAGACGCCACCAAACCACCCTCCTGGACTGCCACAAGCAAATAGCGATAGCCACGGCCCAAAACAAAAAGACACCCACACCAGCCCTAGCAGACAAATTACGTGACCTGTACCAAGACCTTAACAACCTTAATGCCCAAAAAACCAAGTACTTTTTACACAGACTAAAAGCCACCACATACCACCACAGTGGTAAAGCATCTAAATACTTAGCCAACAGGCTCAGGACAAAGCAGGCCGCAAATAGAATTCCATACATAATAGGGCACACGGGAGACAAACTCATGAACCCCATAGACATAGTACAGGAATTTGCACACTTCTATAAACAACTATACAATCTAGACTCAAGTGGCGGCGCTACTGCCCCAGACACACAAGCTATATGCAACTATTTACGGGATATAGACCTCCCCAAGTTGGACCACAACTCCACGAAAGCCCTACTCGAACCGATTACTATGCAGGAGATCCGAGCGGTAATTAAGAACCTGCCCCCGGGAAAATCCCCAGGCGCAGACGGACTCCCCAACACCTACTATAAAACATTCATTGACATACTAACCCCACACTTGCTCAAAGTATACCATAAAGCGACGGAGACAGGCTCCTGAAATGCTGGTGGCCACGGTAGTGACACTTCCGAAACCTGACAAGCCTATGGACAATTGCAAAAATTTCCGACCCATCTCCCTCCTCAACACTGATGCAAAGATATATGCCAAAATACTGGCCAACAGACTAGCACACATCCTTCCAACTATCATAGGGGACGACCAGACAGGCTTTGTTAAAAGTAGGCAGGGCAGAGACACAGGGCCGGCGCTTCCTATAAGGCGAACTAGGCAGCCGCCTAGGGCGCCATATAGGAGGGGGCGCCCTGCGCCCCCATCGCCGGCCCTTTAAATGCCACAGCCGCCTGAGCGCTCTATGGAGAGGGCTCAGGCGGCTGCCGCAGTGCCTCACCTCCCCTTCCCTGCTGTAGCGTGGCCGAGCTCCTTTCCGGTCCCGCGACCCGGCGGGACTGAAAGGAAGTGCACACCAGTGTGCACTTCCTGTCAGTCCCGCGGGTCGCGGGACCGAAAGGAGCTCGGCCACAGGGCAGGGGAGGGAGGAGAAGCTGCTGGGAGATCATTTACGGGATGAGTGGGGGGTGAGACCATTTGATTGGAGGGAGTGGGGGGAGACAGTTTGATTGGAGGGAGGAGAGGGAGAGATCATTTGATTGCAGGAGGGGGGGGAGAGGCATATTTGATTGCAGGGAGGGAGGGGAGAGATCATTTGATTGCAGGGAGGAGGGAGAGATATTTGATGCAGGAGGGAGGGTGGACCATTTGATTGCAGGGAGGAGGCAGGGGGGGGAGAGATCATTTGATTGCAGGGAGGGGGGTGAGACCCATTTGATTGCAGGAGGAGGGGGGAGATCATTTGATTGCAGGGAGGGGGTGAGACCACTTTGATTGCAGGGAGGGAGGGGGGGAGATAATTTGATGGGAGGGAGGGGGGGGAGATGATTAGGGGGGGAAAAGAAGAGAAGATTACGGGGGAGAAGAAGCGATTACAGGGAGGGAAGGGGGGAGAAGAAAAGATAACAGGGGGGAGAAGAAGAGGAGAACACAGGGAGGCGGGGGAATAAGAGGAAAACACAGGGGGAGAAGAAGAGGAGAACACGAGGGGTGGGAGATGAGAACGTAGGGGAGGGAGAGACCACTAAAGGAGGGAGGGGGCGGTGGAGAGACCACTAGGGGAGGGGTGTGAGGTGAGACCGCTAAGGGAGGGGGGTGGAGGATAGACCACTAGGGGAGGGTGGGGGGAGAGGAGAGACCATTAAGGGGCAGGGGAGATCTCTAAGGAATGGAAGGGAGAGCACTATAGGACAGGGGGACAGGGAGCTCTTTCACACCACGCGCGCACACACACACACACACAATGCATCCCTATACACACAGAAACACAACATGCTTCCCTTACACACAGAGAAACACACAATGCAACCCTTACACATAAAGACAATGCAACCTTTGCACATATACACAGAAACACACAATGCATCCCTTACACACACATGCAAACACACACTGCTTCTCTTACACACACACACAGAAACACAATGCATCTTACACACACTCAACGCACCCCTTACAGACACACACACTGCATCCCTTACATACAAAGAAACACACTTTGCATCCCTTATGCATACAAACACAGATTCACACAATGCATCCCTTACACACAACAAGAAACACACAATACATCCCTTATACACACACACACTGCTTCCACTACACACAAACACACTGCATCACCTACACAAACTGGTATCCCTATACACTACATTCCGTAAGCACACACATTAGATCCTCTACAGTAACACATAACAAATCCCCTACACACTCTACTCCCTGTGAGTTCATGGGTGGAACATGTAGGTGGCCTTATGGGTGGGCTTTATGGGCATACTCACCGTCAGGCCCTGGGGCCCAGACCTTGAGCTATGTAAGAGGCCCCAAAAAATGGAGCTGCTTCCCGTTCTCCCAGAACATTGAATTTTGTGACCACAGTTACAAACAGCCTCCAGAGATCCTGTTCTACACCAGACCAGTGGAGCCAGACTGCAGCCAGAGCCCATCACCATCCTCATCTGATTGTAAGTAGGCAATCTAGTATATTATTAGTGACACTAATCTCTAATTTACCTCACATTAAATGGACACTATAGTCCCCAGAACCACTGCAGCTTAATAAAGTTGTTCTGGTGTCTATAGTTTGTCCCTGCAGGCTTTTCAATGTAAACACACACTGTGTGCAGCACTGGCATTAGTTCATATGGGTGGGGCATTGCGATGTTCCGAGGGCAAATCTTTCTTTTGCCTAGGGCGGCAAAAATCCTTGCACCGCCCTGCAGAGACAACACCAGAAAGCTCTCCTTAGTGTTAGAGAAGATGAGAGGATCGGGTCACGGCGGGCTTCTACTAGCCCTTGACGCCGAAAAGGCATTTGATAGGCTGAATTGGGCATTTCTCGAACATACGCTCCTAAAGTATGACATCCCCACAATATTTATCAAACAGATCTTTGCTTTATACGCAGGTCCCACCGCCCGGGTACTGCAAGCCGGCTTTCTCTCTGACCCATTCCCTCTAACGAATGGTACGAGGCAGGGATGCCCCCTGTCGCCGCTACTATACGTCCTAGCCCTGGAACCGCTACTGGTCCAAATTAGGCAGCGAGAGGGTATCCGCGGAATTGAGGTACATGGCAGGGAAGTTAAAATTAGCGCATTTGCGGATGACATACTCCTCTGCGTTTCTAAACCAGAGCAATCGCTCCCACTTATCTTAGACCTCATAAAAGAATACGGGACGTTGTCCTACTATTCCCTTAATGCCAGCAAGACACAAGCACTGGGAGTGCGGCTTAGCCAACAAACACTCACAGCACTTAAAAAAGACCACAATTTTGAATGGAGGACAGACACGATAAAATACTTAGGTCTGACCTTCACAAAAAACCCTACAGAAACCTTCCCTGCCAACTATGTCAGAGTGTGGGGAGACTGCCGCCAACTAATGAAAAAATGGAGCACCCTGTTTCTGACATGGACAGAGAGAGTAGCAACCGTTAAGATGTTCATACTCCCGAGGCTTCAATACCTGTTCAGAAACTTACCAATTCAAGTACCTATGTCCTACCTTAGAGACACACAAAAAGACGTTAATAGATTTGTGTGGGGGGGCCAAAAAGCTCGAGTGCAGAGAATACTTCTACAAACACCGGTGAGACAGGGTGGCCTTGCCTTACCAGACATCAAGACATACTACCAAGCAGCGCTATTAGCAACAACCCTTCCCCACTTCACAAACACGGCTTTACCGCAATGGGTGCTAATGGAAAAACAGGCCATAAAACCCTTTGATGTACCCACCATAATGTGGCTCCCTAAAAAATTTCGACCAGATACTCCACAGATGCCAACGCAGCTAAAAATAGCAGTCAGGGCTTGGGACAAGCTTAGACATAAACTGGTAACACCTACCCCTCTATCGCCAGCCACCCCGCTCAACACAATCACATACTGCATCCCAACCTTCAACGCCAAGCCATGGATAGCTAAAGGGGTCACATATTTGCACCAAATACTTGCGCATAACAAACTAAAAACCTTCCCAACTCTCCAAAAGGAATTCCACATACCAGAGGCCTCCCAATTCTCTTATATACAGTTAAGCTCATTCATACGTAAACACGCAGGGCAGTCCTCTGCCCCAGATGACAACCCCCTCGGTATGATGAAATGGGAACAAACAACCACTAGAGGTTCATGGGCACCGACATTTAAGCCACTATCCTGGTGTTATCAACTCATCCGACCCACACAACACTTTGCAGATTCCAATCCAGCCAGGCACTGGGCACAAGACCTACAAGGCCACATAAGTAAAGATCAGTGGGAGCGGGCTATAGTGACGACCAAAAAACTAATTAAGTCGGAGGTGCTATTGGAGCAATATAGGAAGACCCTATATAGGTGGTACATGGTCCCCATTCGCTTACACAAGCTATACCCAGGTTCACCACCGGAGTGCTGGAGGTGTGGAAAGGGAGAGGGTACAGTACTTCATATATGGTGGCAATGTGAACTAGTCACCAGCTTCTGGCGCAACATACACTGCCTGATTCGAGCAGCAACAGGCACCAAACTCCCCTCCACACCCATAACAAGTCTCCTACTACACATGCCAAGCAATATACCTAAAGGGATACAGAAATTAGCCTTCCACATCCTCTTGACAGCTCAGAGGGCAATAGCTAGGTTGTGGAAATCCCAACGACCACCACTGGTGGCAGAGGTCTGCAGGGACATTGATACACAACACCTATATGAAACCTGCTACCGAGGGGTCCTTCCCTTGACAGACACAGCAGTTGAAGCATGGAGGCTGTGGGAAATGAGGGGAACAGGAGACACACCCGACGGCTAAACTACTAGACGTATTCGACTCCCAGGGTCGATCGCCAGATAATGATAGACAAGCGAGCAACAATACCCCATGTTAGGGACAAATGTAGAAGTGGTCAGACGTACGAACTTAGAACTTAGAAAATGTATGTAGGAAAATGACACACCCGGAGATCTCAAAAATTGTGAATGTAAACATTGATGTAAAAAACTTGGTATGGACCCCCTCTTCCCCCCCCCGCTTTCGTTCTGTACCCCCTCCCCTCCCCCAAGTCATGTTTGTGTTTATGGCATTGCCAAGATGAAAACCAATAAAAATCTTTAAATGGCAAAAAAAAATAACAAAAGTGGAATAAAGGATGTTAGTAACCACTATTAAGTCCAGTACATGCAGTATGAGCAGTGAGTAGATAAGCCAGTGTTACCCTCCCGTTAGAGCAGCTGGAACCGTGTGAAGTCCTTTCTTTCAGCCGCAAATGTAACCAAACCGAAGGGATGCCGTTACTTTGAACCGCTGGGAATGTGCTGCTGGTACCGGGGAGAAGGTAGATGAATGTAAGTTTTGTCCTCAGCGTCAACGTAGTTCACCCATGCTTGGCGGGCTCTTTCAAGATAGTAAGGAGTCATTCTGGCATGATATATATACCCTGTGGACTTGTGCTGCCTGTCAGGATTTCTTAAAGACACGTGTCCTTTTGTGGCAGGACTTTCATGTGTGAACCAACAATTATTTTCATTTTGACAGTGCATTTGTGACATAAGGAATACATATATCGATATACTTGTATATTATAAAGATTCAGAAATGTATACAGCATCTTAAAATCAGTATAAAATGTACTGAGGAAAAACACAATGTGATTACAGTGGGACCACGGTTTACAAACGCCTATGTTAACATAATTTTCTGTTTACAAATAAAAATGCATTGAAAATAATGCCTTGGTTTACAAAAAAAATTCGCAATACAAAGCAAGTTTCTCCAGGATGCATTGCACCTGGGAGGTTTATAGCACCGCCCCCTGCATGCTGGAGCCTGTGGGTATCACATGGCGTCAAGTGTGGAGGTGTTGGAGCGGCTTTTACCACAAATTTGGTTCGGTTTGGACTTCCGAAATTCGACACATCGGCAATTCGGGACTTCGGCACTTTGTTTCGGTACAGCACTTCCGAAATTCAGGACTTTGGCAGTTCGGCCGAATTTAAATTCGGACCAAAACGAATTGCACGTGTCTGTCCCTTCATAACCTTTCAAATACTTTCCCAGCCACAGAAGTTAAGCTCACAGGTCTATAATTTCCAGGTAACGATTTTGAACCTTTTTTGGATATAGGAACCACATCTGCCTTCCTCCAATCCGTCAGAACACTTCCTGAAAGAAAAGAATCTTGAAAGATTAAAAACAGAGGTTCACTTATTTCCACAGATATTTAAAATAAAAAATAAAACAACATAAAAAGATGAACACAAACATATACAAACACAAAAACACAAGATAGCAGATATAAAAAAATATATAAAATACAGAATTGAAAAATAGAAAATAGAAAACTATGTAAAAAATACAAAAGTGCAAAAAGTATAAAAAGTGCAAACAGTGTAAGTCTCCAAAATAAAGTCTCTCAATGAAGTTAACAGTATGTGTAGCAATAGGTCTGAGTGCTGATGTAGCAGTGAAGCAACTAAGGTAAAGATGTTCCTATAACAGACTTACATGCAAAAATAATATAGTACCAATTATTTCAATCAGTCACTATCCCTATTGACTGCTATTTATAATAAAATCTAATTTTATTTTATCTAATGTTTGGCATTCTCTAAATACCTTCTCCTGGAATTTCCTCTAGTTCTTAGTTTACTTTAACTATATTCAAGGATTGGTGTATCCTGTTTGACTAATATTTACTCCTTTCACTTCACAGGGGGTTCACACAATGATTTATTTTTTGTTTGTGTGTCTCCTGTTGACAAGACAACCTCTGACAGCGGTGGTTTAGGAAATTAGGAGTATTCTGTGTAAACTTAGTATCCAATAACAGTGATCACAGTAACATATCTCCAAAGATACAAACAAAGTAAAGAAAGTGCAACACAGTTTATTAATGTGATGTAAAAACGAAACTCCAAATCCTTTAAAAAACTCATACACAGTAAAAAAGATGGTGTTTAAATCCTGCTTTCCATCAAGGAATCCAAACAGAGCCCAGAATAAGGCAGATAAACAGTGTGCTGAAAGTATTACCACTCCGTCTGTTCAGCAGGAATTCAGAAAATATCCATGGATCTAGCCGAAATGCTGCAAGTTCAACTGGAGGGATGACAAAGCACTTACTGCCAAAGGAGTCTGCCTGCAAAGTTAAAATGAAAGGCTTCTAGCTTATCCACGCGTTCCGCCCGTACTCAGCGGGCTTTTTCAAGATCTACTTTTGGACATACTAGTTTGTATTGACTCTGTATATATTCATACATTGCTATCTTTGAGGCGTCTTTTTTCTAAAGAAAACAAATTCAAAATGTCTAGCCTCATAACTAATGTTTTCCATTCCTCTTCCTTGTCGCTCACTTCTGCACTTTTCCTAGTCTTGCAATATCCTTCTTTAAAACTGGTGCCCAAAATTGCACTTCATATTCAAGACGGGGGTCTTACCATTGATTTATAAAGAGGCAAACATTTTTTTTTTGATCATATCAATCAATATCCCTTTTTATAGAAGAAGCACCGGAGTAGCTTTTGCAACCACAGACTGGCATTCATGCTGTTGCCTAGTTTGTGATCTATAATTGTTAGTAAGTATTTTTCATTTAATATTATCCCTAACTCAACCCCATTGTATAAGTGGCTTGAAGGTTCCTTATTCCTAAACATAGTCCTTATATCTCATGTTAGAAAAGAAGTCTGATCTCCTAAATGGAAACTATATATTTTTAAAATTCCTTATTTTTGTAGTGCATAGCATAACAAACTAGAGTAGACATTCCTCAAAAGACATAAACAATAGACATAGATATATAATGGGCTGTTAAGGATGCTGCACTCTTTTTACATTTATATAGAACCATCAGAACCAGAGTCCACGGACTGTGAGCATCCCAGCGATTAACAAGCCTAAGGAAGAATAAAGTCTTCATAGGTGTTTGTGAACTTGCACACCTACTACCAAGACTTTAATTTGTGACTGCAAATTTCATCTTTTGGTACCGGTTTTATTGGTTTTAGTAGTTTTACTGACTTTGTTTAATCAATTTTTCCTATTTTGTGATTGACTTATCTGTATAATATTTGTTGGGACACCCTTCTACCTTGCTTTTTTACCATTCTGTAAGGGCTCCTTCTTCCATTCTGTCCTGCGCTTAAGCATTGGACGGTGCTTGTTTCTCCACCATTTAGGGACCTTCCCAACCGCAGGGATTAAAGACTCCTGATGGGCATGTTGGGTGAGTAGGCCCTCTGCTCTAGTTTGCACCAAAAATCTTCAAAGATTTATTGCAGCCTGGTGAGTGGAAACTATTTTAAAGTGACTTCTTAAAATGACCTACAAGTTATTAATAATAATTGACCATGCACAGTGATTATACAACCTCTCTAGACAGTGGTAACCTCTGTTGGTAGAACTCTTATTTTCACTATCAGTAAATGACCTCTTCTCTTTTTATAGCCCTACTAGTAATGTAGTCGCAAAATAGTTATTTGTTTTGGCTTTTTATAGTGTGGAATTGTTCCTTGACATCAACATAACTAAAATATTCTACTTCTCCTATATTGATTAATATTGCCCTTTTAGAATCTTTCTATGCTTGTTGTCTAGTTGTATAATGTACTAAAAAATCGTACAGAAAACTGTATATGTATATCCATAGTGGGTCTCATTGTACACTTATGGAAAGATAAAATGATATATTCATTACAGGAATGAATATGTTTTTATTTATAACAGTGCATTAAGAACATTATTGGTATCTATCTTGTGTGTCATTTGATCATCCAGTCTTCTAATATATCTAAATTGTAGGAATACCCTCACTCACTCAATAATTTAGGCCTTGACAAATTTGCTTGGAATCTGGGAGCTAAAAAAGAGTAAGGTTGTTTTTTAACTAGCAAAGCATTATTTTCAACAACAAAAATACAATTCTTAAAGGGACACTATAGTCACCAGAACCACTAAAGCTTACTTCAAAGAAATGGCGGTGTTTATATTGATGCCTAGTAACACCTCTAGGGACAGTCACTCAAATAGCCTCAAGAGGTGCTTCCCACCCAGAATCGGCACTGCACTCGCTTGAGACACACACACTCACTGACAGACATACAGAAACATACATACTCACTGACAGACACACACACTCACTCACTGAAAAACAGACAGACACACACTCTCTGACAGACACACACACACTCATAAATTATTATTATTTATTTTAATTTAAGTCCACACAGCCTCTTTACCTTTTGGAGAGCTGGAGTGGATCTTATCACTGGGGTGTCATGTGGCTGCTGAAATCTTCAAGCTATTCTTTCTCAGCACTCACACATGCCTTTTAGTGATGTCGGGGCTGGAGTGACGTCATATTCTGGCTTCACAGCAGGGCGCAAGAAGAGATAGATGATTTCAGCTCCATCACCGCCAAGCTCCACTCTTGCTCAGCTGGCCGCATCCACTGTTCCTCATCCAACCGCCTCCCCGGTCCCTCAGCCAGCTGCCTCCATTATCTCTTCCTGCTGAAAGTACTGACAAATTATTTATTTATTTATAAAATATTTTACCAGGAAAGATACATTGAGATTTCTCTCGTTTTCAAGTATGTCCTGGGTTCACAAATCATTGCATTGTTACATTAGGGTACAATAAAATACAAAAACAATATTAATATATAGAATAAATACAAAATTTAACATAGAACAGGTAGGAAATATATAATCAACCATGACAGGTGCATTCTGTTTTGAGGTATGTAGAGAGGGATCTCTTGATGATTTTAAATTATGCAGGAGGTCGTTCCACAATTGCGGTGCTCTGTAGG